AACGAGAAAACGAGAAAACGAAAAAGGAAAATGGCCCGCGTACCGAAAATGGCCACGCTATCTTTAGAGGGTTGCGTTCAACAGCCCCTTCTGTTCGATCCTCGTACATCGAAGTTTTCGCGTTGAACAAATTCCACGGCGTGTTTGGATACCGGTCGATGGTATTTTGTCACGTTGGAATTTTCAAGCAAACATCGAAAAAGCCTTCAATTTCAAGCTGCCAGTGTATCGCCGCGAGTTCCATCGCTAAAATTAGCGTTCGATGTCGTTTGGAATCGTAATGCACCAATAACTGGACCTGTCGAGCCGCTTCGTTTCTTGTTTCTTGCGTTTGCTGAACGACTTTGACGTTGATACGCCTTTTCCGGCGCTTCCTCTACACTCTAATTCTTACTTAGAATTGATATTTTATGGCAAAATCTTCGACGAAGATTTAAATTCGCTTCTACAACTTTAGTCTCTTATTTCTATATCAATGGAACTAATCAATTAACTCTTAAATACACAATGTTGTAGTATTGCAACATAGTTATATTTTTAGTACACGTATGTGACACATGTAATACACGCTTTTCTGAATTGTATCATTATCTAATAAAATGTGCACTGAAATCAGGTCTCGTTGTTTTCTTATTTTCACAAAAATATATTTAGATGTTAAAAGCAGCTATTCAATTATGCACCCTGACATAATAACACGTCTGCAGCAAATATCTTTGCAGTCCGTATGTGAGAAGCTAATTAGCAAGAGACACATAATATTCATAGTTTATTCGTGACATTACATATCTGTAAATTAGGTACATTAAAAATGTCATATCTTGCGATATCGAATAAAGTAGTCTAGGGTGCAAGATTTGTGATGGGTCCAGCTGTTTAAAAGGTCATTCACACTGGAGGATGGCTGCTCAATGAACGAATTTTGGCACTGTTAGCCGAATGGAATCACGTAAGTAAGTGGATCGATTATGAATGGACCTCCAGCTTCATTCAGTTTGAACATGACCCAGCCTTGGTCCACCCAGAGTCTCATTTACTCCGGTCACTTTCATTCTGGCCATAGCTTAGGTTTCTGTTAGAACCGTTTTCGAATTTTCGACATTACCCAAAAATTTTCAATCATATATCTCTAAATTCAATGACTAGCCATTCAAAGAGCGGTGAATGAAAAAATTCTAAATTACCATCTCGATATTATTAACCCAGGTAATTAATATTTATCGAAATACATAAAACCGAGCATCGGACGTAAAACGTTCTGTCACTTTAAAAATGACAGATAAGATGGTTGTCCGTAAAAGAATTGAATGGTCTATAAAATTACGACTAAAAAAAGCGGAGCTCGATTTAGCAGAGTCGTAACAGCGATCTTAAAGCGTAAAGTGCATTCGTTCGTAAAGTGCATTCCCCGGCAAAAGGACGAGCACGAAGAAAATTAACATCGCATGTTGTGCCACCGAATTGCGTTGTCCATCCACCCCCTTCGCATCCCGGAGGAACCACGATGGCCAGCGGTCGCGAAACTATTTCCAGACGGTTTTGATTAATCTTGAACCAAAAACGTCGGGGCAGAAAACGAGCAGGCTGGCTAACTTGCCACCTGGCAGAAATAGCAAGACGTGGAAATGCTTCTTGACGTTTCGCCCTGGACACGAGCAAGAGAAGCACAGGATAGAGGAAAAACGATGATAAAATAAACGCCAAGTTGGCACCTGCTCCGCACACTTTAGAGTCCACAGGATGCTTCCAGCTTTATAATCTTCGTTGAACGCGGAAATTCTAGCTACGTTCTTTCCATCTCCTTAAATACGTATTTACGCTTTTCCCCTCTTTTTGCATTCCCGCAAGAGTACTGTAAACGCGCAATCAATTCTTCCATGGTTATTTGTAAGATTTTTTTATGGAAATCCGCGACAAACGGCGTCTTTATCGAACAAATTGCGGGACATAAAGAGACTCCAGGTATTATCAACTATTATGTCATTTGCCACGATTAAGCTTTATATCATCGATGGACTGGCATTTTGCAAGTTGTCTTTATAGGAATCTTCGCGTAAAAGACATACCCATTAGGAACTATCTGATTCACTATAACTGACTATCAGTCATTCAGCAACTTCTATGAAACGTTTATGGAGTCATCCTTATCTACCTTCGAGCTTTAAATTGATATACCACAACATCTATTTATGGCACTTTTATGGCATCCGACTCTGCATGGTATTATAAGATAAGGCCAGAATCGTTTCACAATTTAGTACTGCAATTTATGAAAAGTTTTGCATCAGCCTTACGATTATCGTGCAAATAGTTTGTGGATTTATGTTGTATCGAAGAATACCAGTAGAAGAATTTAAATATGTAAGACGTTTTAAACAAAATACTTTCAATCATCCTAAATTATGTATGTACGTATGTTCTCACACAGTCTACCCCTCTACATAACATTTAATCCTCGAAAATGTCAAAGCTTCAAAATAAGCTAATCAAAACGAAATATAAAAATTTGGCGAAATCAGCGAACAGGTGAACGGAAGAGCGTAGTTTCCGGAAGTCGCTGACCAGAGTTCTAATAATAAACCCGGCCAACTTAATTTTCAGGAGCGGAAACCGTTTCCGAAATACGCCAGCGGCTAGACTGCGGAAATATTAAGCTCGAATGTTGCGTGGCTCGTCCATCAAGGTGCACACGCACAAGATTTGAAGGAAATTGCTGTAAACGCCGTGATCCTCGTGATTTATCGCGTCCACGCGCTGCCACTTCCTCTTGAAAATTCGCCCGAGCACGCGCCTAATTAGAGTTACGGGCCCTTCGACCAGAAACTGGTCTTCTTCCTGGATCATGTTCGCCCCTCTGGCTAACTTGGCACCTCCACGATATACAGGGGCCTCTCCATTATGCGAATTAACCGAAACCGTGCCATTAATTATCGACGCCTCTTAGTGCTTAGCTACGTTGATCGATCGTTTCCAGGGAAACGGTTGCCAAATTGGGAGCTTGGAAATAGGAATTTGGTAACTTGGAGTTAGGGATAGAAATTTGATACGTGAAAAATTCAGGCCATTGCAAATTTGGAAATCTAAAAATTTGACACACGAGAAGTCTATAAACTTCAGAACTCCAGATACAAAATTTAATGCTAACTTAAAAAATTCGGTAAAATTTCCTCCCCTGAAATAATTCACCACCTGAACACCCCAAGCACGAAAGATGTAAATGCCAGAAGTCCAACATATTTGTAAACGGTTATAAATTGATGGCATCCATAAAAAAGGTTATCGAAGCTATTATGGATTATTATACTGATTAACCGTAATGGGCGTGTCGTCGTAGGATGATGAGTGCAGGTTTGCCTGCAAACGTGCTGAAATTGCAGGACGAGGCTGTATACAACATTTAACTGCAACTCGTACACGCTTCTACGTGAACGAAAGCCGATACACGTTTATATTGCACGGCATCAAAACGTTACGTGACAAGGTTGCAAGTTTCTACACGGATGTTAAAACTCGTGTGACCAGATTGCGCTCGAGCGCTATTGTGCCCCTGTGTACGTGCATTCAGTCGACGATTATAGCCGGATCGTGTCGAATTGCTACGTGTTAAATATTACGAGGCACTTGGCGAACTTTCGTGCAAAATTTCCCTCATCGTCCCAGGACGGGTTCGATTTTTATTTCCTGCTAAATGTGTTGTAATTCTGTGTCGAAACGGGGATTTCGATGAACCTCGATTAAGACTTAATAGGTACACGCTGTTCTGCATAATATATTACGTACGGAAACAAGTCAAAAGTGCTTGATGAACTTATTTCGTAGCTTTGTTTCGGTGGAAATTAATGTTCAAACTTTGACGAGATATTTGGGTAAAAATTTAGACGGCAATCCTACTCCTTAATACTCAATAATTTCATACTTCAACGAATGTTATAAATTAATACATTTGTCTATTGAATTGTCAGAAAGTTATTTGTAGGAAAATTCTTTGTGTTCATATTTCTGAAAAATTCAATTCGATGCACCAAAAGGTTCCATGTTTTTGACATTTTTTGTCACGATTATGCGTAGCTAATGGAGGGTACTTAGTCGAGACACTAGGTATAATATTGAAAACTTACATCGAGGTAGTGCAATTTTATGCAAATGAATGCACCGTGATTGTGAAGGTACTTTACTGCAGGCATAAGCATAATTTGAAATTGTGAACCATCAGCAGGTGAACCACAACGAATTAAACCATTTAATAAATATTATCCCTTATATATGGTCTTTTAATGGTGCACCGTAAAATTTCCAATTTGTACGCAAACTATGAGATTATATTATAAAACTTGGCACAACTTTCATTCAATATATGCGACCATTAAAAAAAATATCTCGATGTTCGACATAAATGGCATTGAATATTTTAAGATGGCAATGAGGATCCGCGATAGCTAAGTGCAAAATGTAGAGTGCAAATTTTCATACGAATACAAATACAAAATTTTCCGAAAGGGTTAACAGGTTTTACGAAATTTACAAATAATTTATTTTGGTGCAATGTAGCATAATTTATTAGATGATATGAATACATTAGGATCTTCAATTTCATTTTCATAATGAACTATCCGACTAGTACAAATTTATATAAGTGATGAAATTTTCTAAATTTTTATTTGCAAAATTGGATATGCCAATTTTTAACTTCATGCTTTCAGAACACAGTTGCATACTGGTTTCAATGAAATTAAATTCTGACTTGAAAAAAATTAAGACGTGAAAGCGTGAACGAGGTTTAATCCGCAATTCGTATCTTTCGAGCTGCCTCGTTATTCAGTTGTCAGAGCCTGCGGAGAGGTTTGAGGCAGAAGATGGATTCGCCGAACGAATAGCGATAGGTAGAATTTCGAGTCGGATGCATCGTGAATAAGAAACATCGTTGGTATCGATAGATAATAGCGTCGAAAAATTCGCTGCGTTATTAGACGCGGTAACACGATGTTACCATCGCCTTTTTGATGTCAACCGATCAGTTCGATGACGATAACGCGAACGATACAGGTTAGAAACCGATCGATCGTTTCGTGATCCTTGGACCAAATATCGGCAATTTCAGATCAGCCCGAAGATAAGCATGTCCTTCTGGAAGGTATCAGCAAACCTCTTCGAGAGATAAAACTAAACCACCGGGCCGACGACGATAGGAAGACTTTGGAAGATTCGAAGGGTAACAGTAATGGTATGTTTTTTGGAAACCTTTAACGATGGGTGTACGATTTGGAGAGTAATGAAAATTTTGAGGTAGTTTGACAACTTTATTTCGCCACTCCTTTTGCTATCAATATCGGTCGTCCACCCTTAACATTTTCCCCGCGAATTAAGTCAGGAATTCGAAGAAATTGATCTTTGTCTCGGTATGATCGTTTATCACGAGAAACATAGAGTATAAAATGGTTGTAAACGGAGTTTCGCAACGATTACGCGTGGTCGGTAATAAATAGCCGACGCAAATGGTTAAAAGTGTAATAGCACTTAGAAAAGAAGGAGGAGTTTTGTTTCTGTCGTAGAATCTCGTATCTCGGGCGATATCTGTCGAATATGTCACATGGGCGGTTATCCAACGAACGATGAGGATCGAGCAAGTTGTAGAAGACAAGCCAGAACTGTTCGACCGGTCGACAGCGAGACATCGACATTATCCTCCTACTCGTATCTCGGTCCTTTGATCTCCGCTTGCAAGTGAGTTTATCAATATTTAGTGCAATTTATCAATTTCACCGGATCAGATAACGCGGCTGTGCCCACGGTAGCTGCGTTCGATTCGAATGTAGGTTACATCTAGATTAACCTACTGTCAACCAATTATTGATAATATAAAGTAGTCTCAACCGGTGCAAGTAGAGAGTGCTTGACTCCTTTCCAACGATCGACACTTCTCTTTCATCGCGATCCATTAGAGGTATTTTAGAATCGGGGGAGAATGTGGCACGACTCGCTCCGAATATTTTACAACGTAATTTGGAAATTTGAGAATTTCTGGTTACTCGAGAGTAAGAAGATAGTTTTCTCGTAAACGATTCTAAAACGAAATCGAGCACGGTAATTCGATTAGACTCGATGGACGAATTACTCGAGGTGGAATGCGGTTACGTTGACCCTAATCCAGGCACGACTTGAACAGGTGTCGAGGAACAGTGGCCCTGGTGCATGCACAGTGTCTCGAAAGATGGCTGACAGAATCGGGTCACACAAGGTGCGAACTTTGCGGATACAAATATGCTACTAAAAGGGTGCCACGTTACAGTATCTTCCGCAGTATCGCGATATGGTTCAATACCGTGATAGTAACTCGACAGGTAAGTATAATTGGCCTTTAATATATTGCCTAGTCGAGGGACAGCTTTCTAGCAAATCAAGAAATACTTTTTAGATGTTCTTGGATATACTATACTTGATAGTGACCACGCCACTGGCCCTGTTTTCTTGCTACATATGTGCTCTCGCTCTGAGGATGCTGATAAGAAACAGATTACACGATGTGCCATGGATGATCGTTGCTATGCTTCCTACCTGCTCCTTAACTTTGATCGCTTATTGGGGTTGGATAATCACTTTGGGCAGGTGGGTTCATTCTTTCATCTGAATTTTTCACTCGTAATCACTAGACACATTAATAGTGTGACGCAAAAAAAAAAACGAGACTAGTCCAATAAATCATTGTATCTAAAAATAATCGAATGCTGAGTCCAGTATGGTAATATCGTTCTAATGAAGTACCAAGAATGGGAGGAGGATATTTTCATCACAGTAAAATTTTTGCTGGTTACAAACTACACACCTAGTCTCGTTTTTTTTTGTGTCACACCTCGTATATTAAACTACCATTACTCTTTTTACTCCAACTTTTCTTTTATTCATCACTTGTCGAGATTACAAAATAATTCTTTTAATTAAGTGATTCTCCGTATTCCTCGCATGCGACTAAATAATTCTCTGAATTAATACGTTATATTAAGGTACTGAAATAATCGTTCTCATTAATTCTTTACATTAAGACGATTAAGAGATCGTTCCATGGTTAAATAAATTGAAATATCGACAGATTACACGGTCGACGGTGGCGTCGTTATTGGAGAAGCAATTTCGTGATTCGACTGATCCCCGACGACGCGATTATCGCTGAATCGAGACAAGAAGAAACATTATTCAACAACTCGATCGAACATTTCGGCCGTCAAAGAAACACCAGCAACGAATTGACGGATATTCGTGACGCGATCGATCGATTGAACTGAAAAAGATTCGTTCCAGCGTGTACCCTACGATGCAAGATTTAATCGCTTGTAATTGCATTTAATTAGAAGGCGGCTTTAATCGAGGCTGATTACCGACTATCAACGGTAATTAATTACACAGGAGAGAGAACACGAGCTTCCGGTTCTATATCGCTTCGCGAAATATACATCGATAGACATTTTTAATTTTCCTGTCATGATTATGGCAATATTGTTGCTAATATTGTTGGTGAATCTGATGTTGAACGTGAACGAAAATTTTATCAAGTTCATCGTTAAATTTCAGATCTCTGTATCGGTATTGTTGAACCACTAGATCAAACTTTTTTACATTCATTTTTATTTTACAATTTTGTTATGCTCTACATCGAGAAATTTTGATAAAAATAATTTTACAGACACTTTATACTTTATCGATTGCTATTTAATTTTTAATAAATTGAATATTAAGAGACTTTAATAGTTTGTATGTGAAACGGAAGGAAGTATCGAAGAACGAAAGAAAAACGAGTTGACTGGGTAAACCAGCTTCTCAAGGAGTATCCCGTTCGATTTCACTCTCAATCGATTACGAGTTATTACAAGGATGACCGCGTATCGTTGATAATTTTAATACGAGAACAAGTTTCAAAATTTTATTGAAACGTTCCGTCATTTGAAACGTACGTTTTTTACAACGCGGCAAAAAATATGCTTCTCGAAAAATCCGTAAATTATCCGACCATCGTTTTTGCAATTAATTCAAGCATCGACATTCGATTGCTCGATAAACGTTCAATAAAATCGTTCCAAGAAAATTTCGTAAAAACGTTTCGCAAATTATGCGGAAATTCTTGAATTATATTGCCTCTCCTAATGAATCCAACTTTCCCAATTCATTTAATTGGCAGGCTCAAATATTAATTTGTTTCGAAGGAATCTTAAAATTATTAAAATATTTTAATAACTTTAGCTAATAATTTCTCTAATTAATCCTGTTTGAATTAATTCAGTATTATCGATCCACTTAGTCACCCTTCGGCCATCTTTCAAGGCACAAACAGAAGTAAAAGAAGAGGTCGATGTTCTAGGACAATTTTTTGATATCTTTATGCTGTTCCGTCGTCTCGCATTATCTCTTCCGCCGTCCATCGTTCATTTTTTAACGGATGATTATCCTTTTTAGCCGCAGGAAAGTCAATTTTCTACTTAATTCACGTGAAATTAACGACAGTAACGCGGCAGCGTTTTAATCAGGTTTCGCGTAATTGCAACGAGACGCTTCTTCCACCGCGTTTAATCGCTTCTGTTCACCGTTGACACTTATTAATACGATCAGCTACATTCCTGTCCATAGAAGCATTCTCACGAATTAGCTCTATATAACGTTGTTACACAAACTATTATACAACCATAAAAGCGACTAATAAAGAATAATCGCTGAAAAAGCAAACATCAAAGTGACCGGCGAAGAATAAATGATACAGTATTCTGTCATTATGGTAATCGAGAAAAAATAATCAAAGTACCATGCCAAGACTAAAATAAGTAGTAAAGACTATAACGTATATTGACGCCTTTAGTCCCCAAAGAGTTAATCGTCGCATTAATCTTTAATTCATAAAGTGTAACGAAGGCCATTTGATATTAACATTCAGAGGATGTATACATTGTATCGGAACACGCCGTGTTCCGCCGTCATCAGACACAAGCTTTTGCTCTTATTAGTCTTCAAACTAATTACTATATTTCCTGCACCCTTGGAAACCACCTATCATTACCTGTTGCACAAGTATTTCTTTATCGTCGACTCATTTGCTTAATGCAAAAGCGTATGTAACGTTCAAAGCCGTTTAAACTTTTGTAGATCTCCGTGGCAGATTCCAAAGATCCCATTTACGGCAATGCGTATCTTTTCAGCAACTTTGTTCGATTCGCCGAATCGTTAAAGCTTGCACGAAACCCGTGTTCGAGCACATTTTTCTTGTCTGCTTTTTGCAAAAATACCTGCCACTGCGTGGACGTCGAAAGATTCAGAAGCCACTTTGCATAATGCCATAATTTGCATCGGGAAAATGAAAGAACGCGCTAGATAAGGAGTACTATTGCTATCTTTGCGTATCACGGAGAAACGCATCGGCCTGTGTTACTCTATAGACCGATCTCGGACTCGATCTTAATTCGTTCCGGCCATGCAAATTTCCCTCTGCATGATAATTTCGAGTAATGACTTTATGAAAATGCGATGAATAATATTTCTGATGCATATGCTTTACTTCAGAATTCTGAAATTTACAAATTCATGAAACGAAGCAAAAAAAAGATTTATAAGCAGACATTTTGTTTGAGACAAAAAAGAGTAATCTAATGAATAGCATTTCCGATGCATCTTCTTAACTTCAAAAATTTACAAATTTATGAAACGAAATGTCCGATAAAAAAAAGATTTATAAACTGACTGCTTGAGAAGAAAAAGAGAAATGAAGGGTAGCAACCCCCAACGGTCGCCATTATACAAATTGATATTGCCCAACGTCCGGCAAAAAAAAGTAAAGGGTTCGAAAGGCGTAAAAGTACAGGGGTCTATGTCATCCTGGCAATCAAGGGTTCGGTTGAAAATAGAAGATCCTTCCACGTGAATTCGACTCGAGGAAGAAATGAATCTTTTACGCGCCATCACCGCGGATTGCATCCGGTTCTTCCAGATTCTACGGCACGTGACGTTCTAGTCTCCTAGACGATCGAGAAAAAACTTGGGGAAGAACGACGGACAACTGTGTATCCCCTCTGACAGCAAAGGGTAAAATCAGAACCGAAGGAACACGAATTTTTCTCTGCTGACGCGTTTGCTCTCTTTCGAACACGGTAAACCTGAAAATTATTGTAGCTCTTTTAGAACTAGGTAATTCGAAGGAGAAAATTCTCAATTCTCAAAATGTTTAATAAAGTTAAGCAATCTGAACGAACTGAAAAATTGTATCGACACGACTGCATACTTTTTGATCTTCCAATCGAGATACTCGAAGAGTATGTTTTGAAACGAGAAGATTTGTAAAGAGATATTTATTAGAGCTCTGGAAGGAGAGTCGATAGTAAGAAGGTACATCAGTGGGCGTGAAGGACCGCATCTCCGAACAATTTTACGACAGGATGCGTATCCACGGAGGATTAGGAGAGAATCGGAAGCAAGAACGCGTGAAATTTCTGCATAAATAATCCGGTTTTCTAATCCACGGCTTTCGCCCCGTCGGCCTCGTATTTTTAACCCTCGTTAAGAGCCTTGTCGAACCAGATAGGAGATGCGCAGTCGATACTTTCGAGCCTCTCCATACGACGTATTTCATGATTAAGGATCCTTCAATTTTGTTTTACAATATAAATACTTTACACAGAGTGTTACACTGTGGAAAATATAATCGAATATGTCCTGCATCAATTTTTATAAAGAAGCTTGATTTTCTCGGAGCTTAATTTTCTCAAAATGAAGATATAGAAAATTAGTTCGGTAAATTGCTTTGAAAATTTAGACGAATCGTAAAGAAGCAAATGTCTTTTGGAGAGCGGTGATTGAAATCAGCGTGGAACCGAATACAAACGTCTCAATTTGTAGATGCAGAAGAAGCGTTCAATCTGGCGAAGTAAAGCGAGTAGGTCGAGCGCGATCTCGAACATCGAGTATCGAGAATCGGCAGACTCGTTTCCCGCGAGCTGCCAGCTGAATTATTGCCAATTACGAACGTGGATCCTTTCTATCGGGGCGCTGCCGAAATTTATAGTCGATGATAAAGGTATCTGGCCGCCTGTAAAAGCGGTTTAACAAGCACCACCAGTTTCCAACACGCGAGCCAATAAATCGAAACGCCTTCTCCTCTCGAATCACTTTCTTTGGCCCCCTTTTTTTTCGCTCCCTCCCTCGATACACCCCCTCGCGCCCTTCTGTCTCGTTTCGGTCGATCTCGACGTCCTATAATTGCTTCGAGATATTTATTAATCGTGGTTATTAATAAACAAAACGATACCGGTACACGCTAAATAATTAATGTTCGCGGTAATTTTTAACCAACGTCGTCATTAATTTTCGATCACCGTAACATGTACATTTACCATCTCCTTTTATCACCACCCTCGATCCTTTTTCGTTCGGTTCACTTTTTTTCACCGCATGTTTTACAAGGAGTACCTCGGTGAAATTAACGAGAGATTTTATTATCGATGAGTTGTAATCTTGATTGTATTACGTTCGTGTTTTCGAAAGAGTTATATTTATGCCACAAACCGTGCGCGTTATACATGGAGACGTATATCATTCCTACGTATCGCAGACGCATATTTTAAACGTCGAAGCGGACTTTTCGAAACTGCATCGTTGTCTAATATAATGATTTAATTGTTTGCAAATGATGGCACGGGGAACTAGCGGACGAGGAAGATGGAAGGTTTTCAAGATTGGAAATCAAGTTCTACGAGATAATAACGTGTGTCGGCTACAGGGACGAAAACGATGGAACCGTGCCAAGGAACACGATTTAACGTTCATATTGTATGCACGCCTCGAAGAGACCAATCGACAACCAACTATATTTAGAATATTTTAACGAGGTCCAGCTTTTCTTTCGTTTCAAAAATCATTTGGAAATTTTTTAAATTCGGAACTTTTATAATATCGGAAGGGAAAAATTTTGCACCTGAAGCATGAAATTCTAGCGCGGTAACATCAGGGATAGTTAATGAATTTATTGCTGTTATCTAGGTTCAGCGCGTTTTTTCGTGGAAGAACGCGGAGAGGAAGTTTAACCGATGTTCCGGGAAAGCCGAGCGAGAGAAAGACATGTTCAGTCGGAGGTGCAAATATTGTTGAATCCATGGGAGATTTATCGTTCCCGTGACAAGGACCTACCGCAACGTGCTACATGTTCCGAGGAACCTGTCACGATGCAGTTCACTAAGCCCGGGATGCGTGTACGTACTAACGCCGCGTAAAAATCGAGTCAAGGATTTCTTGTTGATCCAACGAGAAATTT